GCGAAGGAAATACGGACATGATCTGGAGGAGCGTGCAGTCTCTAGCACAGCACCTTCGACGGATGATAAGTCAGAAAGCTCGAGAATGAACACCGATTCAGACAGGGATTCGACCTCGGGATCAGAACTGTCAGAACTGGCGATACACACGCTACTAGTGGAAACTCGGGCGAGAAACCTGGACAGAGAGGTGTACCAGGATCCTGACAGTGATCGCTACCTAATACCAAGCGAAAGAGTCTTTGACAACGCAGCGGATGACTTAGAAACGATAGCGGTATCGAAACGTTCGATAAGCCTGTTGCCGCAGAAAGAGGTAGTCAGGACTGATCTTCAGCCGTTTCAACAAGAAACACAACCGTTGGCGAAGATTTGGTGCGTTAAGATGGAAGAAGACACACATCAGCCCAACGAGCTGAACAGTCAGATGAGAGTCATGAAGACGTACTTGAAGGCGAGATACAGACTCTCGGACATTCTAAGGGCGCAGAGAAGTGGTCGCATGACAAGCAACCTAAAAAGGTGGATAGAAAACGGTGCACCTGACAAAGGTGACCTGGAAGAAGACAGCTATAGGATCCTGAGACAATACTTCATGCAGAAGGAGGGGAGATTATATCTGAACAAGGACGGGATCGTGGCTTGCAGGAGAAGAGAAGAAGACAAGGTCTTATACAAATATAACGCGATAGTGTTGCCGCAACTCTATCAGACAGAACTATTATTCAGGTCGCATGATCAGATGGGCCATCAAGGGATCGACAAAGTGTATCAGAGGATCCTGAAGCGCTTTGAGTGGCCTGGGATGAAAAAGGCATGCGAGAAATGGGTGACAGCATGTCTGTCATGCCAACAGGTCAAGGATCCTAGGAAGTTGCGATTTCCTTTACAATCAATTGAGTCGTCTGAATTCAACGAGGTGGTGCAGATAGATCACCAGAAGATATGCATGACAGACAGCGGTTACAACCAAGTCTTGGTCATGATAGATCACTTCACGAAGTATGCAGAGGCCGTGCCCTGCATAACTGCCTCGGCGGAAGAGACATGCGACCACCTGATCAATACGTGGATAGCAAGACACGGATGTCCAATGACGTTTCAATCGGACAATGGAACGGCTTTCGTAGGCGAGCTTACGAAAGAGCTTATGAGACGGTCACAAGTCGCTCAGGCTCACTCCACGACATACCACCCTCAGACGAATGGCTTAGTGGAAAGACAGAATAGGACGTTAGTGTCGATGCTGAGGGTATATTGTTCCAGGTACATGACCGATTGGGACAGATACCTTCCACAGGTGATGGGAGCTTATAATAGCACGCAACACTCCACCACTGGAGTCAGTCCACACATGATGCTGACGGGACACGAGAAGTCTTTACCCTTGACATTCTTCTACCCAGAGTATGAGGGAAAGAAAACATCCCCACAGGTCTACGTGAGGGATGTGATCAGACGCCAACAGGAGTTGAACGACTTGTGTAGACGAAACACTCAGCAGGCACAGGCAAGGCAGAGGAAAAGATTCGACAAGAAGGCAGCTGGTGCAAAGGCTTACTCGGTGGGAGACTACGTATGGGTATTTCAGAACGTTATACCACCGAAAGGGACAAAAAAGCTTCTGAAGAAGTGGAGGGGACCCTTCATGATTACAGAGGTGCACCAAGAGGGACGCTTTTATAGACTGAGTACTGGCCGAGCCGCCCACTACGAGAACATCAAGCCACACAATCCATCGACAGAAGACTGGTGTATACCTGCAGACATGGAAGAAGGGGATTATCTAATGATGGATCCTGCTTGTGAGGTCAATGAAAAAGGCACCAGGGAGAAGAACGATGGAAACGAAGTCGTAGAGGAAGGTACGGATACACCATTGGACCTGGATCCAAACGAACAGATCGAAGCGGACGATGAAACCTTGCCCTACGCAGAGGAAGATTGGCAGGATTCCGAACAGACAGAGGTTCCCAAGAACATGGAACCAGATCTTCCGTTCACGATGCAGACTCGTCAGAAAGACGGGACGAGACTAAGAAAGAAATACAATCCTTACGGTGACGACTTTGTAGTGGATAGGATAGATCTAAAGAAAATAGTGGAGGAAGTAGTGGGTTTAGAGGAAATAACCGTGTCACAGGACATTGACATAGTCGATGATCACAACGATGAGTGGGTTGACGACTGGTCGAAACCCGAGGTGGAGTTCGACGATGAGCAACAGCAGTCAAATGAACAAGACCTGACGAACCTGCGTGTCTTAGAGTGGCTGAACGAAATGACATCAGACCCTGAAAAGACCAGCGTTACGATTCAAGACGTAGATCGCGAAAGCGCGAAATACATTAAGACCGAACGAGATGATCCTTCCTGGGCTGCCCAGGAAGGACAACTTCTCATTCCAGCTTCTAATCTTGACTTAATACCCGGTATGCGATCGACGGGGACGCCGATGGATATTTTTGTCCGGGGAGTGGGGGTAGGACTTACCCACGCTGAAAACTTGATAATAAAAAAATTGAGAATAGCAAGAGAAACAGGAAACTTAGAAGCAGAAACAGGCGAAGAACCTAAGAAACCTGACATAGGCAGGGTAGTTGAGTCATATTTTAACTTACCAAATGAATATTCAAGTAACATAGTACTAACAGATAGTGATTTCATACTCACAAACAGAACATGTGCGATAGCAATCACCGCAGACATGAGTTTTAGGACGGCGCTAGCGGCAGATTTTAAGAGGGAATACAAAAACGTGGAATTCCTTTGGAAGCAAAGACCAGGGATAGGGGGCGTAGCAGCCTTACCCCCGGCGGTGTCGCAGATACCGGGAAAGTACTTATGCTTCTTGGTAACGAGGGCGACAGAGAAGCAGCACGTGGACCCAGAAAACCTAGTCTTGTCTTTGACGAGGCTGAGAGACTTCCTTGTGGAAATGGACGTGAAGGAGCTTTTGCTTCCAGTATACGATCCAAATAGAGGAAGACTGCATCCTCGGGAATTGTACGCGCTTGTACACGTGATATTCTCTGATACGAACATACAAGTGTATCTACATAAGAAATATTACTTAAGTATAGGCTGAGTGATGAGCGAGAGGGTGTTAGGCCAAAGACCAAGTTGCATGTAATATGTGATATGTGTGTTAGGTTATGTTATGTTATGTTATGTGTTAGGTTATTAAGATCATGGGTAAGTAAGCGTTAGTGACCATGAACAACTAAATGACGATCTTGGGAATAGATCCAAAGTTTAGACTGTCCAATCTTAGGTCGAATTCCAAAATTTTAGAAACCAATTGATTTTAATAAATTTTAGGATAAGATAAATATCTTTTTATCTGAACTGTCTTTAAGCAAATTTTAACGATATATATTAAGGTGAAACTGACAGGTGTGACAGTCGTGATTCCTTTTCTAGATCCTGATTGATCATTTAATTGCTCACTTGAGTCAAAACTTGAAATCGAAATCAAATCAAACTTGGAAAGAACAGTAAGAACAATTCATCCTAGGAGAAGGATAGGACCTGTCAACCAACCAATCGAAGAAGTAGCCGGCACATCTAGATCGGACACTAGATCGGAGACGACGAGTACCAGTCGAGAGGAAAGACCGAGCAGAGGCTCATTGATGTGGTCGCGATCCATACCGTCTCCTTGGCATATATACAAAGAAGAACTAATGAAGCTGGACCTACAGAGAGTGAGCTTCATCGAAGATGCAAGGAGGATGCTGAATGGAGCGACGCTATCCGTCAGCAGATTGTACTCGATAACCGGCGTAGACTGGTTGATAGCCGCTAGCATAAATTTCAGCTCCACGACGGCCTTGAGATTTGCCGACTTGGAGGGACTGCCCTCCAACAACACAATAGGACCTGTGAATGCAAGACCGTTGCAAGATGTGAGATTGAACCATGATGAGAGGAATCGTGAAGAAAGGCCAGGAAGATTCCTGACGGCGAGAGCGCCGATTGGACAACACGTGAAGATATTTAGGCAATTGACGACACCACCTGGTCATGTGAAGGAGAGAGTGTACCCAAAACTAGTGAACCAAGATGGTGATGCCCAGAGATATGGCGGATTGACAGCGATAAAGAAAGATGAGACCATCTTCGCCGCCTACGACAAAGCAGAGATGAGAAAGGCCAAAATCATGGTAGTAGCGAATTCAGAGTTCGTGTACACCTCTAAGTCTTTGTTTTGGCCGGACGTCATAATGCTGGCCGCAGTTGACCTAGACCTATTGCAATCAGTGTCATTGGCTATAGGGGTACAGAGGCAGACAGAGATGAACCCGATAACGATTGTGTTTGCTGGCATCAATGACCATCTACACAGTAGAGGTTTTCTGAGCAGGCTCAGAGATCCTGCAACAGCAGAAAACGCAGTATGGCCCGCGATAAAAGACATCCTGGAGTCAATGGGTGAAGTGGTAGACGCGACAAAGGAGGGATCATTCAACAAAGTGACATTGAGAGTAGTATTTGCGTTGTCTCCGGGATATGCATATCTCCCGGATGGACTGAAATTTGTGTATGCAATGGTAGCCTTACTTTCGGAGGGAAAATATGATGTGATCATATCAGCCCCGAATCGCATGATAGAAATGGAGAACCTGAGGCCACTTAAGGCTGAACTGCCTGCAGTATGGTCAGATATCTCAAACGCGATGAGAGGGTTCAAGGACCACGCGCTACACATGTTGGTGTTGGACGAGGTGCTGGGGTTGGAACTGTCCAACTTCAGTCGGCAACTCAAACTGAAACCAGGAATAGATGACGACCATCGAGTGATCACGGCGATGTCCAACGACTTGTGGTTCCGAGCAATGGAAGTGGCGAGTGAAGACACGAGAAGAAAGAATTCACTGGAGACAAGAGCTCATCTGGAAGCGATGGTGCTGAGAACCAAGCCGGAAGCAAACCAGTGGCTACACCTGAATCCGAGAGTAGCGGCATTGGGTGCAGATGCTTTTCAGCAAGGCCCAGTAATGATCACTAGGATACACGCCTACTTGTTGAAGGAGGTGCACCTGGCGGAAAATAACGGAGAAAAGACAGCTGAGTTCGTGAACAGAATGTGTCAGATTACTCTGGAAACCTTCTGGACCCAGGAAGTGAAAGGACAGGAGGGATTTGAAAGGACAGACAGCATGCTAGAAGGGTTGGGAGCCGGATGGACCGCGTCCTTCTTGGCAAAAGTCTACCCGAAAGTCTCGCACTACTTGATAAAGGAATTCCTCCAAGCGGTAGTGAAAGTATCGATAGTGGAATTAATAGCCCTGTTCGTGACATTTGGAGCGGAGAATTTCGTGAAAGGACCGGTGATACTGCTTACGGATGGAATACAGAACCTGCGACTAGATGGACTTCTGACATTGATCGCAATAACCCACGGAAACTTGGGAGCACTGATGAAACTGGCACGTTGTCCAGAGCAGATGAAAGAGAGAGTGAGGAATCTGGATATGAAGAAATCCACAGACTCGTGGAACAAAATAAGAGACCTGAGACACACTCTCATCCAGTATCTCTTGCAGCAAAATCGCTTTGGAACCGGAGAAGACGAGACAATTGAAAGAGAGGAAGATGTTAGACGACATGTTGGAGGCATGCCGCTGTTAACAGATTTGAGCTTAGCTATGAGAATCGATCCCTTGGCACTGATCAGAGGAGTCACGGAGTTCGTGACAGTGATCTATGGACCAGCAGTCACCTTTGCGTTCCCTGACGTTAAAGTGGAAGCATATAGGAGGTCGGTGTTGCACCTGAACCTCATATCGGCAGTGGACGGTAGTACACTGAACTGGTGTGAGCAGCACGCATTGCGAGAGCTCATGAGTGAAGATCTGTTATTTGCGAAAATATCGGAGCCAGAGATGACAGTCATCAATTTTGACGATCACTTCTGTGACCGCATGGGAGAAGTAGAAAGAGGGCACATCGAGGTGTTTCCAAAGCTTTGGAATCTGAGGCCCTATGACAAAACGAATGGTGAAATGACCAGAGTGCCTCGTCTCACAGCAGCGTATCACAAGGTGAGAGAAGAGACGAAGGACTGGGGCGATTACAAGAAGCTACCCGAAGCAATCCCTGAATTCCCTCTGATAAGAAGGATGTTGCTCGGAGCAGTCTCCGTAGTACAAACTCCTAGGTTGAGAGCATTCGAAACCAATGAAAGGAGAGTAGGGAATTTTTCGGCGACGATGGATCCATACTTCGTGGGGAGAAATGCCGCCGTGTTACAGTACACACGATTTGCGTACACGGATCAAGCGACGAGAAGGCGAATAAGCAACGCTGCTACTCCCAAGCCTGAAGGATTTGATGAGGAATGGAGGGGACTAGGCTTAGCTCCAATGAGGATGAGAGGCAGGACTGAATTGCCTGAAGCCTCAGTAATCCTGACCAGTGTGAGAAAAGAGATGAAAGCTGCGGGAGTATTGCAGACGAGAATTTTCCTAGCACCCTTCGGCTGCGAAGAAATCAAAGTGGTCCATGGAGAAGAGGAAGATAAATCAGCCGGTACATTGCTCATACCGAGATTCCAGGAAGAAGCTGACAATGACAAACAAGGACCATCGAACTCGAATAGGGACAAGTCAGAAGGAGATGACGGACAGGGTGGAAACCGTCAGACTGAAGAACCCATGCAACAAGATCAAGCTGGTGGGGAGGACGACAGGGCATCGACAGGAGGAACATCCAGCCTGGATTTCAATATCTTCAGTGATCTTGAGAATAATGCAGACACGTTGGAAACGACTGAGCCAGCGGATGAAGGCATCTCGACACTGGAGCCTCCGTCAGCCTTTGAGGAGATGAAACGGATTTTGCCGGAGAGCAGCTCTCCTGGCAATACAAGAAATAACGATCAGAGAATCCTCATGGAATCACCTCGGAGGAGAAGAATAGAGGCCTCAGCCAGAGTACCTTTCTTGGGAACGCTACCCGAAGAAGAATGGGAAGTACATCACCGAGACCACGAGAGTAGGACGGGATGTAAGCTGGACAGAGTGGCGTTCATGGAAGAAGTCTGGACTGTGATTCAGAGCTATGGGACCCAGTCCATTCTCAAAACAGGTCTCAATCAACCCTTGATGAGAGAAGTACTTGACAAGCTTGATGAGTGTGAAGGGAGACTGAGTGAGCTATTGATCGACTCAGCCACTGATGAGAGTGAAGCGAATTCTCCCATCAAGATGACACCGCAGGACAATGAAGGAGAGGTGGTGTACCTGTCAAGGACCAGGAGAGGAACGATGCGATCGAAAATGGTGATTGATAAAATCAATGCGATGAAAATGAAGTTAGGCAGCAGAGTGATGCCGAGGAGGATTGGAAAGACGAAAGTGGATTCGGAAATATCGATGAAAGCTGGTAACTCAGCGAAAAGAAAACGAGTCGAAGAAGTCATGGATTTGGGGCAAGGTGATTATCAATTGTCTGGCACAGATAGAATATTAACTGATATAGCGATGGTGCCACCCATTCTCATGGCGGGGATAAAGTCAACCGGTTATAAATCCAAAAGGAGTGACCGCACTCTGACTGGAGCAACTTTAGAAATGGAAATACTCAGTCAATGTGGAGAGAGTAAAATGAGGGACTTCAAACCATCTCCCATGAATCATGGAAAAGGGAGTGTTGCAGGACAACTGACACCAGTGGAATACAACCGACTAACAGTGTCGGAGACAGTGTCGATAGATGAACCCACCGGTGGATACATGGAGATGTTGGAATACCGGAACTCGGCTAGAGGGTATGTAGTGGCCCTGGAAGACGAAAAAGCCATGGAGGGTTATCTGGAAATGATGTTGCAGGGCACCACCCTCAAGCAGAAGGCGTATGGAACTTTGGCGTCGTCTGACGTAGAGGCGGAGACGATCGAGCAGTTAGTGAGCCTTCCATGGAAAGCAGTAGTATTGAGGTATTTCGAAGAAGAAATGAGGACTACGCCAAGAATACATGCTCTCGTGGCATTACCTTACGTAAGGACAGAATTACAACTCAGGTTCGCCTGGTGCATGATGGGACTGACTCGCGAAGAATATGATTCGGAAGAAAGGAAGAGATCAAAGGAGGAAAAAGTTTTCCTTATGACGAATCTGAGGGATCTGATAGTCCAGGAGGGAGCAGCAGTAGCGTGTGCAAAGCGGAGAGACGCTCTCTGTTTCATTCGATTCCTGATAGAGCAGATCTCAGTACCTGCATTAAGCACTTGTGTTAAAATGTTGAAGGAAGGCGATGAGCGAACGAAAGCCATGTTCTTACTAGCAATGCTGGATATGCAGCAAAGTAAACCGATGAGGGTGAACATGAAAGAACCTGAAGAATTGGAACCCATGAAAAAGATAGACGAGATCAGGAGATTCTCAAACAAGGAGTTGAGGCTCACTAAAGAATCTATGGGAGCATTGCCGAAATCCAGTGAATACTGTGGACCGATCAAGAAGAAGTCATATAGCTATGTATCCGGGATCATAGGGATAGCGTACAATCCTTTCCTGAGTGAAGACATACGTGATTGCTTCTTTGATTATGAGCAGGCGGTGTTACTAAGGTTCTGGACGTCCAGAATTGTAACGACTAAGAGCGTTAACAATCCACAGGCCAAATTGGGATTGGTCTTGGAAGAAGAGGTGACTGCACCTTCAGTACCAAAATCCGACAAGAGAGTGGAATTTGGGTTGGGATTCTCAGATGAATTACTGAGAACGAGCTTGATGGCAGTGTGGGAATTGATGAAGCCATCGTGGTGTCCTAGTCCCAACGCTGACTCAATATTACGGGCGACACAGGACATACAGAGGGAACTGAATGCGGACTGTAACATGCGTGACCTCAACATCATATATAATGTGATGATAACAGCCTCTAAGAGCAACGGAGAAGATAGAGTGGAGTTGCCTGGCTGGGGACCAGAAGACTGGGTCAAACCTGGTAGCTGTCTGGCGGAAGTCTGTGGACTAGAGGGTCACGTTTGTGGAAGTCTAGACTGTGTGAAAACCCTGGAGAAACAACACAAGCAGTTGACGGTATTGTTTGGAAATGTAGTGATGAGAGCAAGAACGGAAACGGAACTGATAGCAGATTGCCATGGAGGAACCGATGTGAATCTAGTGACAGCACTAGGATTCTACAGCATGTTTGGTTCTTTAGAGTCACTATTGAATCTAGAACAGAAACATGAGATGGTCACAGCCATCAGCGTAGAAGTATTCCCAGGAGTTCTGCAGACTGAGCAGAAGTATATAGGAAAATGGAGGGAAGCAATCGAAACGGAGATGAACATCAGACACAGCGAAACTTATTGTAGACCATCAGGAGCACGATATTTGGTGGGTTCAACGTTGGCCCCAATGTGCAAGAGCAGATACCCTGTACATTTCGTGGCTGTGGACGTGAAGAGTACAAGAACGATCGTGGATCAAGCTTTCTCAGTGCCAAAGTGCGTGAGATTGGCGAGAATGTCTGAAAAGTCTTACGAGTTACTATGTAAGATGTTCTCAGCAGTTCCAGAGAGAACCAAAGAGGAGTTGGAGTCAATACTAGGAAAGAAGTTCATGGGATATGTGAGCGGGAACTTCAGTGACTTTGAAAAACAGAAACAGAGAGGATCAACTGTCACAGATTACAATGCAGTAGATGAGAATGATGAAATCCACCGAGTGATGATGGAAGTGGAACCATTGCTGGAAGCTTCAGGAAAACGCAATTGGAGGAGCATCATGTTGACACTTGACGAGTTTCCTTGCCACTGCTTGCTGCAGACCTGGTGGTATCCCAAGCGTAGTAATTTGGTGTTGATCTGGGACTCTGGAGAGCTGCTCTCCATGGGTTTACCAGATTCATCACAGCCCATAACAATAGTGATAGTGGGAGTTATGATGGCGATACGATGGCTGGAAGCTCATGTGAGAGAAAATAATAGACAGGAGGCACCGACGAGAGAACAATTGCAGAAATTAGATTGTCTAAAAGATTTAGATCTTTTTGAGACAATGTGCAAAGTTCTAAATATTCCGATGGAAGTGAAGAAGATATGGGCAAGAAAACGATTGATGCCATGGTTCAGAGCTAACATGACTGCATGGTTGTACGAGTATGCGAAAAAGCATATGTCGAAACATGGCAGAGTGTACAGTGAATATCAGCTGGACATTGGGGCAGGAGCTTTCAAGCGAGCTTTCGTGACCCATCGGAATGCAGTGACCACCGCTGTGAAAAGAATTTCCAGGACGAGCGAGCGTAGTGGAAATGAGAAGGCAGAGATGCTGAAAGAAGATTTGGAGAGAAACGTGACGTTGTGTCTCCACAACAGCTTCTGTAGAAACAGAGAATCAAACGTGGATCCCCTACCTTGCTGTAAACAGAGGGTGGAAGAGCAGAAGTGTTGGAGGACGGCTTCCAACAGCGTCAGGATAGTCAATGACGTGCTACAAGACACGGAAACCGAGAGTGCGGAGTCAGCGTCACAGGAGGAGGAAATGGAGCATTGACGAATGGTCGAGAAAACAAGAGGCGGCAAGAAAGAAAATTAGAAGAATTTAGAAGTTTTAGAACTTCTAAACGACGGAAAAAGAAGAGAACAAAGGGATGATGAAGAAAAGTTAAAACTCAGAATTGTTTTATGTGTGTGAAAATCTCAAGTGAGAAACCAAGCAACCAAGTTGTAATTGAAAACTGAAACATTTAGTTGAGTTTTGAAATTGTTGCATTTATAAATTTGCATTTTGGTTTTAGTTGAAGTGGCTTTAGAGACACTCACTTATTATTTATTTAGAAAGGCTTGAGGGAAGAGTATATTTAAATATTCCAGCCTGCATGATTGTTTTTAATCACTTAGGAAGACTGATCACTTTGTGGTGACATGAAAAACTTGAGTAACTTCTTGAGGAGGGAGGTTGTTGCATTGTTCTTTCTAACCACAAGGTCTCTTGGTTTTAATATTCAGGACAATAAACAAGCAAGATTTCCGAAGGGAAGGAGCATGGTAGGATAATTTTAGCTTGTTGGTTGGCAGGACTGTCCTGCAAGCCAACACCTTTTAAATCTAGGAGAAAAAGTTTCAATCGGGACATTGACACTGGAAGTCAGAAAATATGTTTTATCTTAAGTCATATCCTCAATGTGCAGATTAATGAAAGAATTTGAAGGCTATAGTGATGTAGTATGATGCAATTTATATTCTGCAGTGAGTCGATGTGACGTAGGTAAAAGTAATTTCGTGCATTTTGTAAATTCTGTTCGATGACACTGTAACCATTTAGAACATTGCGCGATTCAATGAGGACATTGACCGGACTGTCCGGGGAGTATGTGACATTCGACCAGAATGGCCAAAATGCAATTTATGCAGGATTCGAATTTTGAGCAGTAAGCCTTCCGAGTTGATGATTTCGAAGGATTAGCGACGTTATTGGAACGTTTAGCCAAACGGTGAGGGCTAGAATATTCTAGTATTTTAAATTTTCAAAAATTCGAATGATGACGTCACATTTCTGAGAAATGCTGAAACGGCCATTTTAACAAAAAGCGAGTGAAAAACAGAACAACTTTTATCTGCGATCGCGAACAGTACGAAAATCGAGATTGGAAAACGACAACGAACTACAGAATAGCAGAGAACGTTCCGAGTTGCAACTATTGTGCTGCTACAATAGTTGCAAGGCCGTTGCCAACAACTGTGAAGGGTGAGAACCAGCCTTCCGGATTAGCAAGAAATCAAGAGTAAGGAGCTTGATTCGGCGGATTCAAGAATCCGGAAGGGTCTCGGGACGGAAACTTTTATTAACTCACATAAACTTTTAGCATCCTGTCATGTCCTGACTTGAATTTAACTGATATTTTGATTAGTTTTGACAAGGATGAGAAGCTAGGAGTTGGGGGAAAGGGTTGATCCATCTTCGATGGAGATGATGATTTTTATCTACTGAACAAAAACAATAGTAATATAATAAGTAGTAGCCCTGTTTTTAGGAGTGACCTCGTGGTCTGGGGATACAGAGACCCAGCCATGAGCTCACTATTTTTGCATGTAATTCAGTTAATTTGAGCGTTCTGGTCGAAGCCGGAGAACAGTAACGTTTTTGTCGACCCGATGTAAGAAAGACCACCGAAAAGTACTGGCTTGGTAGAGACGGTGAAAAACATGCAAAGCTCTGTTTAGACGCTGGCCAGTCGTCTTAAGACTTAGTTTTGTTATCCGTCGATATGTATCTTCCGGGCGAATGTTACAATTCCAAAGATTTTGACTGGAATACGTGATGAAGGGACTCCTGACTGTAACCTCGGTTACTATGATACTTTTGACCTTCTGATTACCCTCTAAAAATAGTAACTCTTGACTGTAACCTCGGTTACTATGATACTTTCGACCTTCTGATCTTTTTTTACACGTAACTCGACAGGAGTAAAAACAATATTGTATGTATTACAATTAAAACAAATTCGTCGAAAATTGTGTTTCATTTATTGTACCGAGTACGCACGCGGCGTTCGCAGTCTGTATTGCCAGGGCGATTCTCTGTTTTAAAAAGCTGTCTGCCCTGGGTTCCTCAGTACATATGCTAAGGTGCTTACAAAGCTTGCTGAAAAAAGCCGTGCTGGTGCCGGCCGCGCCCTGAATCTCAATTGCTAGCCATCCATCATCTGCTAAGTCTGGTTTAATCAGGGTCTGGTTAAACTACATAGCGGAGGCAATTACGGGGAAACGTCGGGAAAAGACGCAATCTTTTGTACTATGGAGGCTTAAGATTTTCTGAAGGACGTTAGTTAAATTCCACAAGTTCTTGTAAAGTGTATATTTACGATTACATTTTCTGCGAATTAAGCCGGGCAATATGATGTTTATGAAAAACTTGTTATTATCACACGTGCGACTTGTTTAAATTCCAAGCGGCTACGCAAAATGCCGAAAGTAAAAAAATCTAAAAGCAAAGGTGCTACCAATACCGAAGCCAGTGCGCCCGGTGAGTTCATACTTAACTTCTTTATAATAAATATAAAAGTTTCAGTTGGATAAATGCTAGCTTTCATTTGCTGAATCGGAGATAATTAATACATACGCAGATAAGCGTTAATGATTAGATGACAAGGCAAGTACTGCTATAGACGATGCCTTTGACGGGGCCGAGGCCACAGATTTGAAGGACGATGACTCAGCCTTAGGAGGAGATCCAAACATCCCTGTTCCCGAAGACAAGCCACGTTAGATATTTCATATTTTAAGTATTGAGTTCATTGATCAATGTTTTGACATAGCATTCTCTTTCTGCATATGCGGCTTGACTGAAAGTGATACAATTGGTATATAAAATAACTGGTGAATACTGCTCTTTAAAGCTGGTACCGAACCCGGAGCTGATAAAGATATTGATGCTGACGCTGGTAAAAGTGGAGCTGACAATCTCGGAGAATCGGGAGTGGATGACCTTGGTAAAAGTGGAGGCGCTGACGATTTGGGTGGATCTGGAGCAGATGATTTAGGGAAAAGTGGAGGCACGGATGATCTGGCTAAAAGCGGAGGAGCTGATGATCTTGAAGGAGCTGGAGTGGATGATCTTGGGAAAAGTGGGGGAGCTGATGATCTCGGAGGAACCGGAGCCGATGATCTGGGAAAAAGTGGTGGAGCTGATGATCTTGGAGGAAGCGGAGCCGATGATTTGGGAAAAAGTGGCGGTGCTGATGATTTGGGGAAAAGTGGCGGAGCCGATGATTTGGGGAAAAGTGGCGGAGCCGATGATTTAGGGAAAAGTGGTGGTACTGATGATTTGGGGAAAAGTGGTGGTCCTGATGATTTGGGGAAAAGTGGCGGTGCTGATGATCTGGGAAAAAGTGGCGGTGCTGATGATTTGGGGAAAAGTGGCGGCGGCGCTGATGATCTGGGAAAAAGTGGCGGTGCTGATGATCTGGGAAAAAGTGAAGCTGACGGTCTCGGAGGAACTGGAGCTGACGATCTGGGAAAAGGTGGAGCCGATGATTTGGGAGGAAGTGGAGCCGATGATTTGGGAGGAAGTGGAGCCGATGATTTGGGAGGAAGTGGAGCCGATGATTTGGGAGGAAGTGGAGCCGATGATCTGGGTAAAAGTGGTGCCGATGATTTGGGAAAAAGTGGTGTCGATGATTTGGGGAAAAGTGGAGCCGATGATCTGGGAGGAACTGCTGCCGATGATCTGGGGAAGAGTGGAGCTGATGATCTGGGGAAGAGTGGAGCTGATGATCTGGGGAAGAGTGGGGGAGATGAATTAGGAGGAACTGGTGCGGATGATCTCGGAGGGTCAGTTTCGGCGGACGTAGTAAAGAGCGAAGGAGCGGATGGCCTCGGAAAAAGTGGCGAAGCTGATGATTTGGGAGCGTCCGGTGCGGATGATCTGGGGAAAAGTGGCGCAGATGATCCTGGAGGAACTGGTGCTGCTGATGGGCTTGGCAAAAGTGGCGCAGATGGCGGTGGTTTAGAAGGCGATGACGATATACAATGGAGTGTCGGAGGAGAAGATGCTCCACCTGACCCGGGAAGCACTGAGATGGAAGAAGGGATAGCACCTCCACCCAAAGGATCAAGTGGAGGAGGAGGCCCAGACACGGGCTTTGATGAGCATGCCAGAAACGCGCAGGATGCGCAAGGTAATCTGCAGCAGCTGAAAATGCAAAATGACCAAATGAAGGGAGAATCAGGAGCTCCAGAAGGAGGAGAGGACGATGAAGGAGGGTATGTTTGAATGTCTATTCTCAAAATCTGAAAGAGACCTTGTTCAACTTACTGAGGCTTGGTCTTAGATCAAGACCAAACATTTTTTGATGGCCTAAGTCCACACGCCATTCTTTGCCGAACAAGCGGACAATGTGAACAACAATTCTAAATATAAAATTTTGCAGGCGGGGTGGGAATAGGAAAAATTCGAAAGCTTTCTATCGTCATCAACTTTTTGATACACCACTAAAGCTTTGGATATACAATTTTAAGATAATTACTTGTTTTTCAGCGGAGAAGCGAAATCTAAAGCAGGCGCTGGAAATGCTATGACGGATAAATTCCTTGGCTATGGATTGGTTGACACAGATGTAAGTTCGCCTTGCTGTTTTTTTGGCTCCTTTCCACGTTCCCACATATCAAAATTTTAATAATCAAAAGTTTTTTTAATAGTTCTACATGCGATTATGGCTCAAGGCTTGATTTTATGCTGAAACGTTAAATGGCTCTCCATGCTAAGTCTTGATATATAATGTCGAGCAGTGTAATACTATGATTTTTTTTTTCTTCAAACAAAGTCGCAATCAAAAGAGCTCATTTTGTGGCACTTTTGCATTAATCACCATCTGTATCATTGTAAACTCCATAGCATCTTTTTTCTGCTTTATTGATGGCTAGTGTTTGAAGATTTTCAGTGTATGTATGTAATGTATTTGTATGTAATGTATGTATGCATGTATGTATGTAATGTATGAATATAATGTTGTAATGAATGTATGTAATGTATTTATGTAAAATATGTATGTATGTATGTTATGTGTGTCTATATATGTGTGTGTGTGTGTGTGTGTGCGTTTGTCTGTGTGTGTGTGTTTTTCACGGTTCTTTCTATTCGCACAAGCATCAAATTAATGTTTTCAGGAGTATTTACAAGGTTCAGTAGAGCTGAAATGTTTGTCAATGGCGCTTTTTTTTCTACCCGCCTGCTATTTTTTGTAAGTAATTTTGGTCACTTTGTGTGATTATTACACATACTTTCATGCCGATAATTGTTCCGACTTTCGATACGAAATTAACGGAATATTTGTGCTCGGGGTGGGTTTTTTTTTTCTTCAGACAAATTTCGACTTTTTAACTAGCCACTTTTGCCGGAATTTTTAAATATCATTCGAAAGGTATTGTTGTCCTGAGCTCAAATTTGAAAAGATATTTCACCTGTGATTATTTTTCGTAAAGTTATGGGGGTTTAAACATTGCCATTTTGGCCAATTTGGGACAATTAACGCGCGATATATTTCGCGCTATTAACGCGTAAGCGGAGAGTTAATCCGTCTAAGAAATCGTTCCAAATTGGTTAAAAGAAGCTTTTTTGTCATAATTGGTTTGTCATAAGGAGCGAAATCTATACTTTTGTACTTTAAATGGCGTGTGGGGGGATGATTTTCATCAAAAATTTCAAATTTTAGAAAAAATTTTTTTTTTCATTTTGTTTTATTTTATTGAAATTTTTTATGTTATTACTCCTCCATAAACATTAAAAGGCGGTCGGAACATTCAGGACTTCGCCCTGATACGAGCAGTCTTGTTTTTTTTTCGATTTTGTTTTTCCGTCTCATTTTCATGTCGCTAGCTTGCAGTGTTGCGCGCACTTGCATTGTCTGTAGAAATATGCGAACTATTTAATTTTATTTTTCAATTACTTTTTCTTAAATGCTTTGCGGATTGAATTTTGTTTCGGAATAGAAATCGGATATTGTTATCGTTTTCATATTGTTTTCCTAAATAACGTGTTTTCTTGCCTAATGTTTGTTCGTGGCTCTTGTTTGTTTTTTTTTCTCTCCAGCTGTCTATGGGCTATGTTTTGATTTGCTCCTGTGAAATAAAATAACGGATTTTATCTTTGTCAGATTTGAAAAAGCAATCAAATACAGCGAACTTTCAATCAGAATAAATACACATAGCTATTTTAACCCTTTTTTAAGTTAAACATGGACAATCGGTTGCTGTGCAAGTAGTGCAGAAAACTCAATATAAAAATGAACCCTAGAACTTAGGCAAGGCAGTTAGATACTAGTACTAAAATAGATATATTAGGTAGTAGTAGTAAAATAGGCGTATTCGACAATAGTTTTCCTCAAAAATTGAATAGAAAATTTTTTTAAAAAGTTGTTCTAAATGTTTTTGCTGAAAATTTTCTGAAAAAGGCGCTATTCAAAAATTAATTTTACTGGTTTAAAACTAAATTTCCACGGCTTAACTTAAGAAAAAACTATAATGTGCTAATTATGAAAAACTTGCTCGCTTAACTCGCTCAAAGTTAGTTTTTTGTCGACACTATATGACCCAGGGTTTCCTCAAAGTTACTCCCTTTTTAGTGGTCAGAACAAAAATAATTTTTGTTGCATGCAAATGTATTATGAAAAATCTGCAATATGAGGAGATTGGAAAAAAAGTAAGAAAGTATCTACTGATTGTGTTGTAGTATCTACATATATAGTTAAAGTTAACAAAAAAGGGTTTCTGCCCCCTCTCCAATATCTAAGTTAACTGTAATGGGATGGGGGTATCTATAGTGAAGATTTGTGAGAATCCAAGAGCTTTAAGGTGATATATTGCTTAAGTATAACTCAGCGAAAGAAATTTAACAAATCCGTAAGCAATTTCGCACAAACTTACATTGTTTCAGTTCATTATCAGCATGAATGCGTACTTGAAAGAGAATGAAGCGGAAAAGCGGCTGCTGAAAGCGCAGGTTAAGCGACTCTGCCAGGAGAACGCTTGGCTGCGTGAACAAGTGGAGAAGGGCGGTCCCGTCGACCCAGATGGACAGCCGGTGGATCCCAACGCAGAAGACAATCAGTCTCAAGTGAGTATTGACAACGAGAAATGCAACGACTGTAAAATCGCCTAATTGATTTGAGAAACTTTTTTTCAAGTTTAAATTTAAAAAGATGAAGCAAAAATTGTCTATTTATGTGCACAATTTTCCTGTTCATTAATTTTTAAAATTGTTATTGGGCTTACTAGATGCATCATCATCTGGTTGCTTATACACCAATTCGTTGGTGTTCGTCAATTACTTCGTTCATGGCATCGATATTTCTGTACATTCAAATTGAATTAAGGCAGCACTCTTTTTTGGCTTTCAAATACCATTCTGTTCGTCAAATTCTCACAAGTTTCATCAAATTCAGTTTTCAGATAGCTAGGCCGAATGCAACGTTTGCTGCGTGGATCGCATACTTCTTTGCATAGTCAATCAACTGTTTTTGTGTGCCTTGCACTTGACTTGAAACTTTAAATTTGCTGTAGCAATGAACATACTGCTTGAATTATCTAGTAACAGTCACCGGCACTGAAGTTGTTTCTGTTCAGTTTGGGGAGGGCGAGGAAGGTGGCAAAGGGGCGGATGACATTGACATGGACATAGACAGGAAGGAACTGGCCGAAGAGGATGAGCCGGGACGTAAGTGTCAATTTAAACCAACCGATTCCATTACAGCTTCACTTTTTGGATATATTGTGCGCGTGATGGACCGTAAGCTCCAAACCATTTAGGTGGAGGCAATAGATAATTGGCTAAGCTTATTCTTATAAATGTGAGCGATGTTTTGTTGTGTTTCAGCCGACGAGCAGCCAGAAGGCGAGGATGATTTCAGTAAGTTGAGCTGTTGCGGTTTTTTTTTCTTTTTTTTTACGCACGTCTCATTACCCAAGCACTGAAATTCACCCTAGAAACGTTATTGAATTACAAACGAATTGAGTTTTTTCTAATTAAAAATTCCTTTCTAACTATTGAAAAATTCTTTTCAAAAATTAAATAAATTTTTTTTTCTATTCAAGATGACATGGACATATGACATGTTGTAATGCAATGTATTAATAGTATCGCAAGTGTTGCGAAGCTCCACTTAGCCTCTGTGTTAATGAATGCTTCGATCTCTTTTCTTGTCTGCAGCTGACGACGGCACAGTGCAGGAGGAGGAGGGTGAGCCGGAACAGTACAGTAATGATGTGCCGACTAAACTGCGAGTGCTGAACAACATGGTGAACCAGTATATAGAAGAGGGAAGGACGGAGACATGTGTGCCCCTGTGCAAGAAGGCCTACGCAGACATAGAGAAAGAGTTGGGGGAGGGACATCCTGACCTGGCTACAGTTCTCTGCATCCTATCAGCTGTATACAGGTTAGCCCACACCCCCCACATTGTTACCCACGAAACCACACGTGGACATTTCATATTTCATCCACCGGTGTTGTAACCGAGGGGGGGGGGGGGGGGGTGGGTTGGAGGGTGACTTGTTAGTTCATCTATAAGAATAGGTGTAAATTAGCGCTTCAAGCAGAAATCGAAATTTTAAACAAAGTTGAAGAGAAATTTTTCAGTCGACTTACATAAATAGCAAGAAACATTTGGGTCGTCACCCTTCGCAAATTCAAACTTGCTGTAAAATTGAACCTGATAGTGTTTTACAGAATCATATGGTAAATTCAACTGATAGTTTCGTCGTTTTAGAGCTCAGAATAAGTTGGAGGAAGCGAAGGCGATTTTGGGAGAGGCACTGGAAATCAGGAAGGAGAAACTGGCCGAGGAGCATCCTATGACTGGAGCAGTGCACAACAACCTGGCAGTGGTGATGAGCATGACGGGGCAGAACAAGGACGGCAAAGACCACTGTCTCAAGGCCATCGCCATCAAAGAGAAGAGCGGGGGATCCGGCTGCGAGTTTGATATAGGCGCCATGCACAGGAACCTGGCCAGAATGCAGAGAAAACTGAAAGATTTGGACGGGGTGAGGTATTCAATCAATATTACTTGTTGAGAACAAGTGATGCTGATTGATATCATTTCTGGCAATTTTTCCTGTTTCGCCCACCTTGCAAGAGCATCACTTTTATGATGTACTGAGTGATTTTTTAAAGTTAAGTATGAAGAACAAATACGTTTGTCATGACTTATCTAGTGTGAACGTTAATTTTCGTAACAATGGGGCAATGTACAGAAGCATATAGCTTTAAAATTTGCTGGATGAGCCATATTTTGGTAGCTGCCTTTTTTTTATAAATAAGTTAATTAGATTTGGGACAAATGATGTTTTCAGGGTATTGAGTCTCTGAACACGGCCCTCACAATATTCCGGAAGAAGCTGAAGGCAGACGACCCCGAAGTGATCAAGACGAAGAATGATCTGGTGATTGTCTTACATATCCAGTCAGTTTATTAAGCAAAAGTTGGAGCAAGTAATTGAAGTCTTGTATTCTTTCAGGGAGTCTTTCTAACTGAAAATGATAAACTGGAAGAAGCGGAAAACGTCTTCTCAAATGTCATCAAAAACGCCATAACATTCCAAGGATCAAGTAAGTGTGGGACACCTTAGCCATCAATCATCAATTTTGAAGAAAAATATTGAAAAGTGCTCTTATTAGCTATGGACAGCGACGGAGAGGAGGTCGTCTATCGTTTCTCTATCAAACTAAATGATTTTATCTGCCAAATTAATGGATCAATAGTTCTTTCATATTACATACCCCGATTAGTACATCCCCCAATCACATAGCTTCTTTTTTCATGGTGGGGCTATAATTCACTTTCTGCTAGGTGAAATAGAGCCCCACCAAGAATATTGCAAGAATAAAGTGAACTATATCCCCGCCGTTATTGGGAAGAAACAGGTTGTTTTTTGTTCATTTTTTGATTGATAAGCTTATCAGTTTTTGATTGCGTTTTGTGTAGAGTGATCCGGAGGAGATGCCGGAAGAGGAGGGAGTCCACGCACATGGGGATCAGATGTGGCAGAGAGTCGAGCCTATTCCCAGGTGACCGCAGCGACATCCCATATCTTTCATCCTTTCTAACTCTTTAGTTTCCCTCATTTAAAAAAAAGGTGAGTATAAATTTCACGGAGAGTCGACCTCGTATAATATCATTTGACAAAGCTATGCGATTAACAAAAATAGGTTACAAAAACTACAAACGAGTAATTTTACAGCTAAATTAAGAAGATTTTTTGCAGAGATGACTTGTCAGCAACTTGTAAAAATCTTGCCAAGGCCTACAATAAAGAGGGAAAAGGCGACGCTGTGAAAGCGATGGATGATTTTGGGAACAGAGTTGCTAAAAATCAGTTAGATATGGAAGCGAGAAATGCCCTTAAAGCGTTGCTCCAGTCTGGTGGTAATGAGGTGCCTAGAATATCAACATCCAACTCTGGGTCCGGATCTGGATCCAATGCAATGTCGGGGTCAAAAATGTCTGGATCAAACGCCATGTCAGGATCGAGATTGTCGGCCTCCCACGCAATGTCGGGTTCCAGACTATCAGGGTCTCAGGCGATGTCCGGCTCTCGGTTATCTGGCTCTGGGGCAATGTCCGGCTCTCGAGTATCTGGCTCTGGAGCAATGTCTGGATCTCGGGTATCTGGCTCTGGAGCAATGTCTGGCTCTCGGGTATCTGGTTCGGGCGCAATGTCTGGATCTAAAATGTCAGGTTCAAATGCTATGTCGGGATCGCGAGTGTCTGGAAGTCGTCCAGGGAAGTTGTCGTCGAGAGTTTCAGGTCCTCCAAAAGGCTCTGCCAAAGATTCCAAAGATGACGATAAAAGTACGAAAGTTGATTGGTGATGAAACTAATTAAAATCAAACTATTTCTCAAAAGCAAACTATAATAAAGTCGTAATTGTAGTTAATTTGTTTTTATTAATTCAAAACGTTAAATTATTTTGATGGATGGTCTCATTGGAGACATGAATTTTATCCAGGTAGTGAGTTTATTGTAAAAAATCTTGCTGCAGTCAGTATACATATGTATTTATTCCATTGGTTTCCTAGTTAATTTATTACTCCAAATAGCAAGCGTTATCAAATCGGAACAGACTTTTTGCAGGTAAAAAAGAACGGCTTACAGACGGTAATCTCGTTCAAAGTGCGCATTTTTTGGTACACTGGTTCGGAAGGAAACTTCTAAGCCTAAGACGACAAATTACAAATCCAGATGAGACCTTCTTTTTAAGAGTTAATAATCCAAGTGAAAATAATTTTTTTTTTATTTTTAACTTTAGTTCCCTTCTTTTGTTTGGGCAAAATCCACTATCGAACAGCAAAAATGTAACGAACACAAAGTCGTGAGCAAATGCAAATATTTAAAGATGTATATGTAAATATGTTAAGGGTATTGCATCCATGTACTAGAATTTCGCTTCGCTAATAACTTGGGTCACAGAATGGTGAATATGTAGAAAGAAATTTGAAATGGTAAATTTTTAATTATGCAGTGTACTTGTGTAGCCTATATAGGGCTTGCATTGTAGCGGGTAAATGCAAATCTTTTCTTGATTTTTTCTACTGAAAATGTTTCGCATGTTCTTTTTAACTGGGTACCAGTCTTTTTAAAAAAATTTAACTCAACTAAGATTGTTTGTAAGTTTGAAATCATTTCTTCGACCTTCTTCGAAAAACGACAGAAATCATTAGAAAAAAATTCGAAATTTTTGTCAATTTTATTTTGAATTTATTTTGCTACTTCAAAAAAGGTTCAAATGTTTTCCTCCATACTTTATGATTGCCTTGTTCTTATCGAACTTTTTTTCATCGAAGGCAATCAAAATGCAAATTTTTTAATGCAATTTTCAATCAATTTTTTCGGCAATTGATTTTTGTTTTGCTTTCTAGCTTGTTTAATTTGGTAGCACGCTAAACTCTACAAGTAAAAAACTCGTTTTCAGAAAGCCTTAAGTGATATCAGATCACAAATTACCTTCTAGATTAATTAATTCATATTTTGCTTGTAATTTTCAGAAATTTTTAAATGCATAATAAGAAAATTGGTTCGTTTGCGCTATTTCTTTCTAGTGCAGTTAATGTTTTTCTCACCTGTTGTCTTTCGTTCATAAGCAATTCATGTTTAGGGAGGATACATTGATTTAGGTGTTAAGTCTTTGAACTCAACTTACAGCAATTTTTGGTCCTAATTTTTTGTTATGTCCAAAGACTTGCGTGCAATTTACTCAATGTATTGGCACATCGAATTTTTGACAAAAAGTGAAATAAAACATTTTTTCTAGATTAAAATCCAATGTTTGGTTTTGTTTGAAAAATCCAAGTTTTGCCAGCATTGTTATCGGTCAGAAAATTTTAATGCTAATGAAATGCTGGTTGTGGTGTTCCGCCACAGGTTTTCATCAAAGTTTCATTTAGCTTTAAGTATTTGAAGTGCTGCAAAGCTCAGCTTCGCCTGTGGTTAGTTATCTGTTAACACTTCCAGATTCTGTCCCATTTAGTTTAAATAACAATTTGACCTTTGCACCCAATCTGGATTCGAGTCGGGCGTCCCATATTTTTATGTATGCTATTGAAATTATTTTTTGGTTAAATTGAAAAGGCCAATTTTCGTTTGTCTGCTCAAATTTTGTCGGCAAAAAGTTGCCAAATCACGCACTTACCTGTGCTTTGAGAAACTTTGCTAGAAGATGCAAGTGTTGATCATTCTAGTTTCAAGAGGGCCTTGATTGATGTATGAAAAGTATACACAATTTTTTTTTCGGTTTAGCTGGTGTATACTTGAAAGATCGTTAGGCTCGTCACGACTAGCTTGTGCTGTGAGCAACTTCAAATGTAACTGCAAATATCGGTCATTGTATCTTCAGACGGGAATTAAAACATTTTTTTGATAAAATCAAAGTTTGCGTTCTTTTTTTTCTGTTGAAAATTGTTAGATTTGTTCCCTCTTTGTAAGTTTTGCTGCGTCGATAATTATATCATACAACGCAAGACAATTATATATTTGCGAAAGTTTTGTTGTCGCTTTACCGAATCGTTTTTAAAAAATTCATGAACTGAAGCAAGCAGAAATCAGTTTACTTGTTTGAAATCGTAGTTTTCTCTAAGCAAACAACTAAAAATTGAATGAACTCAAATTCCGATAGCAAAAAATTTAAGTCGAAAGTTTATTGTTTTTAATAATCTGTTAACCGCAGATTTCGTAATAAAAACTCTGAGATCAGTTTTTACTAGTAAAAAACTGGTTATCTGTAAATTCGCTTCGACCAGGTAATTTATATTTATTTCAAAAGATCTGAGCAAACGAACTTGAATAAAGAATACCAGAATGGATTAGAACAGAAAGTTTGAATAATTTGTTTCATGAATTTTGCGGTATAAAGAGTTTCAGTAAAAACTCAAATTTCAGTAGCGCATTTTTGGTTTTTTGTTTGCCAAAATTGAGTTGTGAGACACAGCAAATTTTTATTGCGTTTAAAAGCGATTTTTAACTGGCTTCAAAAAATCTATCAAAACTGAATTTTTTTAAATGCTCATCGAAAATGGTTCTGTGAAAGAGACACAGCAAATTTTTATTGCGTTTAAAAGCGATTTTTAACTGGCTTCAAAAAATCTAACAAAACTGAATTTTTTTAAATGCTCATCGAAAATGGTTCTCAAGTTTTGTGAAAGTGACAAACCATTAGTTTCATAGAAACAGACTTGTTAACGTGACGCGATAATTGAGGCCCGGCCCGATATAATTCAAGTCGAGCCCGTTGGCGGCCCGATAAACGGAATTTGTTAAATATCGGCCCGTTGATGCTTTTTTGGTGAAAAACAAATTTGTTTCAAAACAATTTTAATTAATTGTTTTACTTATTTATAAAGACCTTTTTTAAAAGCTATGGTAACCATTTCAATTGCCTCAACGGTTGTAGTTGTGAACGTAGTAGTCATGTCGTTTAGCAAGCTGTACAGTGCGCACTGAAACAACATTGGTTAGTCAAAAAAACTTAAGGCCCGTTGACAAAAGTGAAAACCTCGGACCGTTGAGGCCCACGGGTGGCCCGGCCCGTTGACAAGTATGCATAGAAAAACTTCTTTGCAAAACAGTATAATTTTAGAAGTAAAATTGCTCTCCAGTACTTTGTACAAGTTATCAGCATGGGTTTAAATCTGAAAAATTTTAATAGTTTTCGCTGGCTGGTAGTTATCATTCAATTTTGGCAAATTCAAATATGTTTAGTTTTTTTGCGCCAAAGCATAACAAAAACGAATTAAGTTAGCATCCGAAATTTTGCCGTCAACAAATTCAAAAGTGTTAAAGAAATCAATCAAGGAAATAAAGACCAAAATTTTTTTGTATAATCAAGGGAAAATGCAGAAATTGTTCTGCAAAAAAGGCAGCTAAATGCTGAAAAAGGCATCAAAATGCAGAATTAATATCCGAAGTCTTGTTAATTTTTGGATATTGTTCAAAATTTGTTGTTTTATTACATTGTAGCCTGACTGGTCACCGCACTGTTGAGAATATTTTTTGTTTTTCGAAAACCATAAAACGTTTCGGTAAGACAGGTGCTGCAAAATTTAGAAACTTTCATTGTTAACGTTTAATCAACGCGGTCTGTTTTGGTATAATATTGACATAATTTCGATTGCTATTTGATTTTTTTTTTAGTACTCGCTCAATGTCGTCTTCAAAAATTACTGCAAGGGTGAAATCAGCAAGCTCAAATTCGAATTTAGATAGACGGCATAGTTTTATTTTAAAAAGTTGCAGAAAATTTTTTTAACTGCTGTTTATCAATCTGTTCATTTTTAATTGCAATGATTAGGCTTTTAAACAACAAAAAAGGTGAATTGCTGACTAAGTTTCAATAGTTTCTACCTGGAGCTAAAATCAGTAACATCTTTCAGAAAAATCAAAACTGAAAAATATTTATGAGGACATGACAGCCAAAAAAGTATCAACCAATCAAAAGTTAAATTGCTCTTTCGGTTGATGAAAAATGGACCGAACTTGACAAAAGTGATGGTTAAAAAAAAGAATACGAAAATTTTTTAAATTCTTTTTTCTATAATTTTACTTTTACTTGTTTTACACTCGGTCCATTTTCCATCAACCCAAAGAGCAACTTGACTTTTGGTCAAAGCATAACTTTTTTTGTTTTCATTTCTTCCAGAAAATTCATCAGCTTTTATTTTTTTGAAAGATGTTACTGATTTTAGCTGCCTGGTGAAAATTATTGAATTGTAGTCAGCAATTCACCTTTTTTCAGCCAGTAAAAAAAAATTTAAGCTTTTCCAAACTCGATTTAAACGCAGAGGTCAAAATAAGTTTTTGATTGAAAATTAGAAAAAAAAAACTGCATAAACAGTTTTTTTTGGTAATTGCGTAAAATAATCTATGTTATTTCAATTAATATAAA